AGTATTTATTGTAATAAAGATAATATCTCTAACAATGGCGTGCTGTTCCATTCGGTGGTGTGGGGAAAAACAGCAAAACATCTAATTACAAACGGAATCCAATTTCGTCGGTAATTAAATATTAAATATGTAATTTTGCAATTTTCGTCCATCATAGCAAAGCTCAAGTTAACTGGTCGATTTGAAGTGAAACAGTTGACGACACCCGTCAATTGTTTCGAACTCCGGCTGGCCAATCGTAGCGCAGTAAAAAGTTAATGCTTTTTGTATAAATTGTGTAACCCTAACCGTCTAACCATTAACGTGGAAGCAATCTATATAGTTGTAAGAAAAATAAAACACAGTTCTTTTAATTATTATATTGTATTAAGAGTAAGTAACTATGTTATTCTCTAACATTCTACTACTATATATAATTATTACTAACGTTTAGTTTTTAATAGGCGCATTTTGCACGTGGGGCCGTTCGGCTCCACGCAACGCGAAATGCCTATTAAAAATTCAGACAAATTGAAGTAAATCTGAATGTTTTTTAAATTGCGGCTCGTCAAAGAGGTATAGGTGCACGAAATTCGGACTATTAGGGACTTCTTATACATACGACTTGACTACTTGATACTTAGTGATTTCTTATTTTGCTAACGCCTAAAAGTCTTCCCTATATTTAAATTTATTTATGTAACAATAAACAAAACATAGTCCAGAGCCCGAGCTTCTAAAAAAAGTGAATGATATCTCGGAAAACTCACATGACTACTGTAGAAGTTACATTTATTGAACTTATGAAATATTATTTTATTTAAATTACTTACTTACTTAAGTAAAAGTGTCAGAGGCACGACGCGACTAGTGCCAAAAAACCATTTACTTAAATGTTTAATTGACACAGCATTGACACCGACACGTGGGCGTCGAGTCGCGCATCTGAGAGCACGCTTGAAATGCTTAAACACATATGTATTTTATATTAAACCTCCTTTGTATATGAACTCTTTAGTTCAAGGAGGGCTTAGCCCTAAAACAGATATCTTCCAACCATAAGATGCAAACAGAACGTGCAATACAGAAAAACTTGTACAAATTTCTATTTCTGTAACACGGCAGAAATAAACATAACGAGTATTAACTACGCAATATATTATTGACAAATAATAAAAGAAAATATCACGATTATGGAAATAACTCTCAAAGTTTTCTTAGAAACAGAGATGCTGCCTTAGAAAAACTTTGAAAGTTTATTCCACGTTAATATCGATTGAATAAAGGTCTTCAATAAGTTCGTAATCGAAGGCATGAGATGTACCTACTTAAGGCTTTGACTTGGGACTATAAAAGACCATGGCACTTGGGAATTAGGTACCAAGAATATGTTTTAAATGCATAACAGTATGTTCACAAAACGAGAATTGAAAGTGCGTATCGCAAATCGCGCGCTTACAAAATTACCGAATTTTACACGTAAATAGCGGTAGTTGTTCACACCATGACGCACGTTTTTAGTAAATGCCCGTTCGACGCTGCGCTAGCGCCGGGAAGTTTCCGGCGCGCGTTGACGGGCTCTTCGGGTTCATTCAGAGTGCAGGCGCGGGCGCTAGGGCCTTGGCGTCTTTCCTTCCACTTTTTTGACACTTTTTGTAGATTCACACGTAGAAATCACGAACAGACGCTAGACCAAGAACTGTGAACGCAACAAGAAACTTCAGACTTTTGATTCGTGGCTTTATTGTAGAGCGTATGTAAACCCTTGTAGTAACAGACCTTTGCTAAAGCTCGGGTAGCTAACACCACGGGTGTACATATACTGGCTCGTTATAGTACCTCGATAAAAATGTACTATTAATAGAATTGGTACATGACATGACAAACAGGCATCGTTCGAATATGGTTTTAAGGCAACAGGCTTGGAAAAAGCTTCTATGAAGAAGAAAGCGGGGATGAAAAGAAGAAAATGCTGGGTAAGTAGCTGCGCTCAACGTACGTAACGCCTATGCCATAAGCCCAACTCTCGTTGAACGTACGTCAAACTCTTGTCATGTGAACATACTCTAATTGCACGAGATACATTGCTATTGCAAAATGGCGGTTGAATGTAGCCGGTTATTATTACGGAAATTCGAATGTTTGATCAGAACAAAGTTAAAGCGAATCTCGCTAGTGCCATGGAAACAGCGAAGTACCGTTGAGCAAACTGAAATATCAGTGAATAAGGCACTCTTGTGTTGAACATTCACTAAATATGTATTGTTTTACAGTGAATTTGATTATACTGGGGCAGAAGAGATTACAGTCAATGTTAAGTGTTAAGTATAAACGATTATCTGTAAATAATAAACACCTTTATCCATTTTCCATTCGAAAACTTGGCATCCCCCTTGGCAGGATGGTGGATAATAAATAGAAGATGGATGCAGAAACTCTATGCAAAGTATTTATTATAATTGTACTTGATCACTACGGCACGAGAGTCAGTAGGCCAATTTTTCTCTAAATACATGCCAGGTGTATCCAATAGTCTATCAAGTAACAATTGCAGAATAAATGAACTAACATTGAGCCACTTAGGTGTAATATAGTAAGTATTTACAGTATTCGCCATGAAATATAAAAGGGTTTCTCAATACTACAGCTTGAGTACCAGAAAAATATAACATTTTAGTACAATGTAGCGCAATTTTAATAAAATGCATTCTAGTGCTGGAAATTATGACTGTACACTACGATATATTTAAAGATATAACTGTGAATTACTAGATCAATATACCGCGCATTCAAGATCAATATTACTACATCTACTCCTTTCTTAATTAGTATTTAATTACTTATACATTACATATTACATATACTTATATATTGTAACAATCATATTTCTTATTTTTATAAAGTAGTATAGCATGCGGTCTTGCTTTATTTTCCAATTGCCCTTCAGCCTGTTTTTTTTACAATATTTATATGCTATTGTTCCAAAGTCAGGATGCATGTTAAATGCACCTTTGTCTCAAAGGTACAAAGTTGTTTGTTCGGGAGCAAAGAGCTTTTGTGACTTAAAATATG